GTATGCCAGTTAGTCACACAGCACATTGCTGTTGTTTGGAAGTGTGGCACCTGTCGCATAACGTTGAGGTAAACATCCACGCAATGGTGTTTCAGGGAATTTAGGGAAATTACAGTCATCCTTTAATCTCATATGAATCGGCCAGACAAATCACACACTTACTACATTACTGGACGTCCTCTGCTAAAAGTATTTCTGCTCAAAAAGCACTTATGGCTTATTCACTCACTACAGCGACTTCATTAAAAACTGGTTGAGCTGTCCTTAGATTATAGAAGTGTGTAATAAAACTCGGCCATTTAACGGGTTAAGAATCTTTTCTCGTTCTCCTGAAAAGTTACCATTTCAAAGTATTGATAGAGCAGCAACAACCATTAAAAATGTCTAGGAATACGTTGAATAATCTCATAGTGTATTTAAAACATCTAGTTAATTGGAATATGTACATCATTTGCATATCGCTGCTGTCGGAACAAAACCTCTTATCTCCACTTTTGTAGTTTTTCAGTTTTTGACATAATTTGAAAAATACCTCTTGACCCAAAATGACTTGGAAAAAATTCTGGTTCCATTGACTTACATTAAAAGTAGAGTATGTTTTTTCCTTCTCCTGTAAAGTTACCATTTTGGAGATATGAGGTTTTCTTCTGGCAGCAGTGATATGAATAAAATACGATACATAAACACTGCTTAGTCTTCCAGTTTATTATCCTTTAGTTATTTGGCAGCTGACTTAATATAACCTGGAATAAAGTGTAATATCTTTTATTCAGAAATTTGAGTCAAGTGTAATGAGACACATTAGAGGCAGTAAATTACCTACATATATCATTTATCAGAGATCATATTCTGCAGTGCAGCTGTATCTGTATATGAACTGATCTGAGTTCAGTGTTTATGGCTGACGCAGTCGTCTGTTCTGTCTCTGCTCTCGTATATCACTCTCAATGAACTGCTGTTCTGCAGGGATTAAAGACACAAACCACAACAGTCCAGAACCTCATCACACGGCTAATAACAGTAGCAGCCGTCTATAAGCCTGAATTTCATCTGTAATGTTTATAGATAACAATGAGTGTGTTTACATGCACTTAATAACCTAATCATAATCAGATTTCTGCAGTTATCTGAGTGTTGAAGTGGTCGAGTAAGCAGCACTCTCCGATAGTTAACACTAGATCAGATTAAGTCCTGGAAATCTGATAAAGAAGCTGGATTTGAGCTCAGTAATGGGAAACTCTTACTCTGATTTCTTTCGTTTTTCTCAGTTTGCGCATGCGCGAAAACAGAGCGCCGTCGCGGAAACAGCTAGCACTTCTGGAGCGACACTGAAACCGACTACATGCTTGACGAAATGAAGAATTTAAATATTTTAAACTAAAGCGCCTGATGTTTAACAAAAAAGCTGCAGCATGAAGTTTGAGTTTTACGTTATGTTTACATCATGTCTTCTTCTGTGAGTTTATTGGCTGGTTGTAACGCAGAAATCTGATTACTGTCTGACTCATGTAGACCCAGAGTTTCCCCAATATCTGATTACCCAAGTGCATGTAAACGGGGAGAACAGATTACCAAGAGGAATAAACCAGATGTTGATTTTTTTAGTGGATGCCAAACAACACGTTGAATTCCAGATTCAGTTTTATACAAGAAAAATCTTTACATCTTAAATAAACAATCCACACTGCATGTATTTCATGGTAGCTAAATTACCTTCTAGCTCCAGAGCTGAAACTAAAGCATCAAACACTAAGGGCTGGAGGTTAGGGAACCAGCCTTGTGACCGGAAGGTTGCCGGTTCAATCCCCTGAGCTGACAGTACGTGACTGAAGCACCCTTGAGCAAGGCACCTAACCCCCAACTGCTCCCCGGGCGCCATGGATAGGGCTACCCACCGCTCCGGACAAGTGTGCTCACTGCCACCTAGTGTGTGTGTGTTCACTAGTGTGTATGTGGTGTTTCACTGCACGAATGGGTTAAATGCGGAGGTCTAATTCCGATGTGTTCACACACAGTTGGCTAAAAGGTTCATTTCATTCATTCATTTCATCAAACATGTCTCGTCTGGTAGACTACACTCTTAAAAATGATGGTTCTTCAGTTTTTTAGTAAAGACAATAGTTCTCTGTAGAACCCTTTGAATGATTAAAGTGTTTATTGCATTGTGAAAGGGTTCTTCAGATTAATGGAGAAAGTGATGTAGATGGTTCTTTATAAAACCTTTTTGAAAAGGGTTCTATGTAGCACCAAAAAGGGTTCTTCTATTATGTCAAACTTGACATCGTAACAGTAGAAGAACCATTTTTGGTGATATATATATAGAACCAACTACAGCACATTCTCCATCAATCTGAACAACCCTTTCTTGATACAAAGAACCTTTTAATCATGCGAAGAGGTTTTTTGAGTATTCCTGGTTCTATATAGAACCGTTTTCTTTACTGAAGAACCCTTGAAGAACCATCTTTTTTAAGAGTGTAACGAAAACAGTAATAGTTCATTTCTACATGACCTTTTTCCGACCTCTCTTCATCCCTGAGATTTAAACAGGCTGCTTTTGCTTCTTAGTTTCGTTTCCAAATATGGAGACTGGAGGGCAAAACAGCAACTGATGATTCAGGTTTGCGGTTAGCACCATGCTAGTTGTTGTGGTATAAGCCGCCATTACCTGTTTGCTACTTTAGCCTCGTAGCTCCAGAGCTAAACCTAAAGAAGCCAAACACGTCTGGTCTGGTCTGGAGGGGGTGGGGTTTACAAGTACACTGTATTCTTCGCCAAACTATCACTTAAGGATTGACCTGTAAGGTCCAGTTTGACGTTGTTTTCACTAACAGTGCAGTAGAGCCAGAGCTGGTTTATGAGGAGTCTGGCCACTTCCTATTTCCCCCATTATATCAAAAACAGGACTGCAAAACAGCAGAGGGCGCCAGCGAGCGAGTCCTCAATGAATGGGAGTAAATGGAGCTAAATGGCTAAAAACAAAAAAGTTAAAATAGTTTCTAATCACTGAACCAGAACTTTCCTTTAGTTTTAGACAGTTAAAGGATGGATTTTACTAAAGAAACAAAGAAATTTCACCTGAATGTTTCCTTTATTCTACAGCAAACGGGTTTTGGGCAGCAGGATGCTAGCATTACTGCTACTGAGTGCTGATTGGTTAGCATTACTGCTACTGAGTGCTGATTGGTTAGCATTACTGCTACTGAGTGCTGATTGGTTAGCATTACTGCTACTGAGTGCTGATTGGTTAGCATTACTGCTACTGAGTGCTGACTGGTTGGCATTACAGCTACTGAGTGCTGATTGGTTAGTATTACTGCTACTGAGTGCTGATTGGTTAGTATTACTGCTACTGAGTGCTGATTGGTTAGCATTACTGCTACTGAGTGCTGATTAGTTAGCATTACTGCTACTGAGTGCTGATTGGTTAGCATTACTGCTACTGAGCGTTGATTAGTTAGCATTACTGCTACTGAGTGCTGATTGGTTAGCATTACTGCTACTGAGCGCTGATTAGTTAGCATTACTGCTACTGAGTGCTGATTGATAAGCACTACTGCTACTGAGTGCTGATTGGTTAGCATTACTGCTACTGAGCGCTGATTAGTTAGTATTACTGCTACTGAGTGCTGATTGGTTAGCATTACTGCTACTGAGTGCTGATTGGTTAGCATTACTGCTACTGAGTGCTGATTGATAAGCATTACTGCTAGTGAGTGCTGATTGGTTAGCATTACTGCTACTGAGCGCTGATTAGTTAGCATCACTGCTACTGAGTGCTGATTGGTTAGCATTACTGCTACTGAGTGCTGATTGGTTAGCATTACTGCTACTGAGTGCTGATTGGTTAGCATTACTGCTACTGAGAGCTGATTAGTTAACATTACTGCTACTGAGCGCTGATTGGTTAGCATTACTGCTACTGAGCACTGATTAGTTAGCATTACTGCTACTGATTGCTGATTGGTTTTAAACTCCTATAACTCGAGTTTAAAAGCTCTTAAAAATATAACAGTGGTTTTAAAATGTTTTATGCTGTTCTGTGTTCAGGAAATTAATGAATTTTATTACATTAAAAATGTTTAAGATTTATAAACTATGATTTTACTCAAATGCTCCTTCTTAACCCATTCATTTTGGACTTACTCGGGAGCGCCCTCTAGTGTATGAGAAACCCAGAAGACATTACAGAGTGTAATTCTCCTCTACAAGTTCTTGGGTAGAGCCACATAATGCATGTTAGCGCAGCTGTGTGGCATAAAAACATCAGCAAATCCTGAAAGAACAGAACGGAAACGGAGAGAAGGATCATAAGCTGGTGTGTTTTGGGGAAGATGAGTGAAAACAGGGTTCTGCAGGTTCTTCTCTCAGTGTGACGAATAATTCAGCAGTGCTGTAAATAAATAAGGTCTCTGAGCTGCTGGGTTATATTAGACATTCAGTACAGAATCACGCGACCCAGACATCCCTGCTGAGTAACTGAGCTATTCACTCTCTCCTCCTTTCTCTTTGTCTCTCCCTCTTTTTCTCCTTTTTCTTCCTTTTCCTTTCTTTTTGTTGTTGTCTGTATCTTTTTGCTTGTTTTCACTTTCTCTCTCTATTTTCTCTCATTCTCACACTTTCCCTCTTTCCCCTTTTCTCCCTTTTTTCCTTTTTTCTTTTCTTGTAGTCATTGTCTCTGTCTTTTTGATCAGTTTGTCTTTCTCTCTCTTTATCTCTTTTTTCTCTCATTCTCACTCTCTCCCTCTTTTTCCTCCTTTTGGCCTTTTTCTCCTTTTTTCCTTTCTCTCCCTGTCACTTCTTTCTTTTTCTATTTTGTCTCTTTCTCTTTTCTGTCCATTTTTTCTCCTTTAAAAAATCTCCATTAAAAATAATAATTATTCACAGGATTATTAGCTGTTCCGTTCATGCGTTAATAAATCCTGTTAATATGTCTCTCTCTCTCTCTCTCTCTCTCTCTCTCTCTCTCTCTCTCTCTCTCTCTCTCTCTCTCTCGGTAGAAATACAGGTATCAGGATGAGGAGACTCCGCCCCTGGAGCATAGCCCCGCCCACCTGGCCCACAGCAAAAGTGCTGAGATGCTGCATATGAGCGACAAAAACTTGGCTGCCATGGACACCATGCACAGCTACGCTCCACACACACACATCTCTCCTGTGAAGGTAAGAGAACACACACACACGCACTCTCTCTCTCTCACACACACTCTCTCACACACACACACACGCACTCTCTCTCTCTCACACACACTCTCTCACACACACACACACACACACACACACTCAGACGCTGGGTGTTGCAGTTTTCAGTCCCGCGGGGTGAAAACGGAGACAGAACACTTAGAGTGTCGTTTACACTCTGCTGAATAAAACAGAAACCCTGAAAAACATATTTCACTGCATAAAAGATCAGACTGAGGGGTTTTTCACCAAGCAGGACTCCTCAGTGACGGAGGACCATTTAGGCAAAAGGAAAAGGAAACAGGGCAGAAATGAAAAGATAAAACAGCAGCAGGAAAGTCTGATCTCCTCTCCATTTACACAGCCTGGAGTTTTGGCTTAAATTATCAGGCTAACGGTGAAATCCGGCTTTGTGGGAGTAAAAACCCTGAATGAGGATTCTGCTTCACACTCACTGAAGACACAGCTCTGAATCAGACACTGTCACTGCACTCAGTCTGCAGATCAGACTGAGATCAGACCTGCACTACTGAACACAGTCTGCAGATGAGGCTGAGATCAGACCTGCACTACTGCACACAGTCTGAGATCAGACCTGCACTACTGAACACAGTCTGCAGATGAGGCTGAGATCAGACCTACACTACTGTACACAGTCTGAGATCAGACCTGCACTACTGCAAACATTCTGCACATCAGGCTGAGATCAGACCTGCGCTACTGTACACAGTCTGCAGATCAGACTGAGATCAGACCTGCACTACTGTACATAACGCTCCTTCGTTAAGCGTTAAGAGTTCATTTGTGAAGTCAGGTGTTATAAGAGTCGGTGTCTGTAGGCACTGTGGGCACACAAAGATCAGACACTCTTTCACTGTCCTCATTTCTCATCCATCCTTCCATTTCTTTCTCCTCCAAACAGAAATGAAAAACAAGACAAAAACTATATTTTACTGTATATAAACTATATTAGGCATCATACAGTTTAAAAGAGTGTCTATCTATCTTTCTATCTATCTGTCTACCTGTCTGTCTATCTATCTATCTATCTATCTATCTATCTATATATCTATCTATCTATCTATCTATCTGTTTTATCAGCACCGTCACTGTTACTGTTACTGTAGGTCCTGATCTACTGCCCTACATTCCACCAGACTCGTCTCTACAGCTCTCTCTCTCTCTCTCTCTCTCTCTCTCTCTATCTCTCTCTCTATCTTTTCCTCTCTCTCGTGCTCTCTCTCTCTCTCTCTCTCTCTCTCTCTCTCTTTCTCTCCACCTACTGTTCTTCTTTATCCTTCCTCTATCCTTCCATCCTTCTATCCTCTCCCCTTCTCTAATCCTCCATCTCTTCTCCATTTTTCTGTTTTTCCTGTGTATCCCGTTTTTTCTCCTCTCTGTATCCTCCCTCTCTGTTGGCACTCACTGTCTTCCTGTTCTTCCCTTTTTATACTTCTCCCTCTCGCTTCTCCCACTCTTTCTGTTTCCAGCCCTCCAACCCTTTGCTTCTCTCAGCCTTTCTCTTCTATCTCTCTCCCCCTGTGACCTCTCTCTCTTCCTCTCCCTCTCTTCTGATCCTCTTTCTATTCTGCCAGCAGCTCCTCTAGGTGTTTGTGAGTCACACTCTGTGTGTGTGTGTGTGTGTGTGTGTGTGTGTGTGTGTGTGTGTGGAGTCGTGTTGTGTGCAGGCAGGCTCAGTTTTTCCACACCTTACTGTTTGAAAGCTGCCAAAACTATTAACTAAATAAATAAATACAAGTTAAAGGATTTCATGGAAAAATTAATTTCCATTTTCGATTTAAATGTAAGAGTTTGATGCTGTACCACCAAGAATGCGCTTTCCACATTCAGACTACAGCTGTTTAGCCCCACCCATTCAGACTACAGCTGTTTAGCCCCACCCATTCAGACTACAGCTGTTTAGCCCCCCCCATTCAGACTACAGCTGTTTAGCCTCACCCATTCAGTCTACAGCTGTTTAGCCGTGCCCATGTAGTCTACAGCTGTTTAGCCCCACCCATTCAGTCTACAGCTGTTTAGCCCTGCCCATGTAGTCTACAGCTGTTTAGCGCCACCCATTCAGTCTACAGCTCTTTAGCCCCTCCCATTCAGACTACAGCTGTGTAGCCCCACCCATTCAGTCTACAGCTGTTTAGCCGTGCCCATGTAGTCTACAGCTCTTTAGCCCCTCCCATTCAGACTACAGCTGTTTAGCCCCACCCATTCAGTCTACAGCTGTTTAGCCGTGCCCATGTAGTCTACAGCTGTTTAGCCCCACCCATTCAGTCTACAGCTGTTTAGCCCTGTCCGTGTAGTCTACCGCTGTTTAGCCCCTCCCATTCAGACTACAGCTGTTTAGCCGTGCCCATGTAGTCTACAGCTGTTTAGCCCCACCCATTCAGTCTACAGCTGTTTAGCCCTGTCCATGTAGTCTACAGCTGTTTAGCCCCTCCCATTCAGACTACGGCTGTTTAGCCTCACCCATTCAGTCTACAGCTGTTTAGCTCTGCCCATTTAGTCTACAGCAGTTTAGCCCCTCCCATTCAGACTACAGCTGTTTAGCTCTGCCCATCTAGTCTACAGCTGTTTAGCCCCACCCATTCAGTCTACAGCTGTTTAGCTCTGCCCATTTAGTCTACAGCAGTTTAGCCCGTCCCATTCAGTCTACAGCTGTTTAGCCCCACCCCTTCAGACATCTAAAGTTTAGCCCTGCCCATTTAGTCTGCAGCTGTGTAGCCCCACCCTCCCATTTGCTCAGTCTTAAAGAGCCCATATCTTACATTTTTCTCAAATTTTATTTTTCTCTGAGGTTCACTTTGTGCCATTTCTGTGAGATTAAGGGTGTGTCTCAAAACCTAGTGAGCTCTCTTAGTAGCCGCTGTCCACCTAGGCAGCTGTCTAAGTAGGCAGCGTTCCAACCGTCATCTATCCTTATAAGATAAATGAGACGCTCTAGTTAGACAGCAGTGACGTCGCCGCTTGCTCCCGCCCACTGCACGAGACCGGCGCTTACTTACCTCAGCCGTCAGAATCACAGTTAGCCAACATGGATCTGCTCTGGCAGCTTATATAGCGATTTTAATGGTATTTGCTCTGAATGAAACAGCAAAATAGACAATAGTTGTGGTCAAATGTGGAAAGTATCGGCTATTTGTGCACCTTTATGACTAGAAAACAGATAAATACCCCAGAAAATCAGAATAACTTTCATTTAAAGATGACGTGGCTGCTTGGTGAAGCGCTTCTGCTCGCCATCTTCAAACAAAAGTTGTGCCCCGCTGCATCACGGGATTGCCTCAGCGGCTGAGGAACCATCCGATGCTCTCTCGATATTGGGCCAAAATGAGAGACCTCAGTAGGCAGCATATTTGAGATATCTAAGAATTGGGACAGCCTTCTTGTCGGGAGCGCATATTGTGACGTAAAATGCTGTCTATGTAGAGCTCACTAGGTTTAGAGACACACCCTCAGTCATTTTTCTGACGTCATTAAAACAAATAATCTAAAACTCACCCTCTAACAGTGTGAATTAGCTATAGAGTAAACATGTAAATTATTTGTTTTTTGTGACATCACTAAAACCATGAATTCACAACAGGCTTAGTTTCCAGCTTAGTTTCCGTATATGGAGTGTATGGACTGTGGAGTAAGTGGTACGTATTGAAACCTTAAGAATGCTTATATAGTACATCAAACTCTTTAATTTGAACAGAGCAAGAAACAATTAGTGCATAAAACCAAACGCAAAAAAATCAAAGTGTAAAAGAAATACAATATATATACAATATATAGAGTATGTAAAACAAAAATATATGTAGTATAGTACAATGTGTGCAATATGAGCCCTTTGATGATGGTAAATTTTGACAAGATCAATCAGCTGCACTTCAGATCTGCTCAGTTTTATAGCAGAAGGAGAAAATCAGTCAAACACACTCGTACACACACTCACACAGAGCCACACCACACCTCAGTGTGTGTGTGTGTGTGTGTGTGTGTGTGTGTGTGTGTGTGTGTGTGTGACTGGTTGGTGTTTTGCTGTGTTTTGTATGACAAGGGCAGAGATTGCAAGGTCAGAATAGCTCCTCCCACACAATCTCTCTCTCTCTCTCGCACTGTGGTACCATCTGTCTACATGAAAAACACATACTAACACCACACACACCAACACACCACTAACACACCAGAGCACGCTGAGGCTGTGTGTCAGCCAGTTTCCATGCAGTGTGTGTGTCTTTTATGTTTCCATTTATGTGTGTGTTATATATATATATATATATATATATGTACACACACTGACTGGCCATTTCCTTGTTTCTACATTCACTGTCCATTTTATCAGCTCCACTGACCATATAGTTTCACTCTAGTTCTTCAGTTACAGACTGTAGTCCATCTGTTTCTCTGCATACTTTGTTTCCCTGTTCTTCAGTGGTCAGGACCCCCATGGACCCTCACAGAGCAGGTACTATTTGGGTGGTGGGTCATTCTCAGCACTGCAGTGACACTAACATGGTGGTGGTGTGTTAGTGTGTGTTGCGCTGGTCTGAGTGGATCAGACACAGCAGTGCTGCTGGAGTTTTTAAACACCTCAGTGTCACTGCTGGACTGAGAATAGTCCACCAACCAAAAATATCCAGCCAACAGCGTCCTGTGGGCAGCGTCCTGTGACCACTGATGAAGGACTGGAGGATGACCAACACAAACTGTGCAGCGGCAGATGAGCTATCGTCTCTGGCTTTACATCTACAAGGTGGACCGACAAGGTAGGAGTGTCTAATAGAGTGGACAGTGAGTGGACACAGTGTTTAAAAACTCCAGCAGCACTGCTGTGTCTGATCCACTCAGACCAGCGCAACACACACTAACACACCACCACCATGTTAGTGTCACTGCAGTGCTGAGAATGACCCACCACCCAAATAGTACCTGCTCTGTGAGGGTCCATGGGGGTCCTGACCACTGAAGAACAGGGTAAAAGGGGGCTAACAAAGTATCAGAGAAACAGATGGACTACAGTCTGTAACTGTAGAACTACAAAGTGCACCTATATAGTAAGTGGAGCTGATAAAATGGACAATGAGCGTAGAAACAAGGAGGTGGTCATAATGTTATGCCTGATCGGTGTATATGATACATATAGACACTAATTTTATGTTTTAAAATGAATTACAAGTATAAAATGTTTGTGTTCCATAAAAAATCCTTGCTTCTTTTAATATATTGCCAGATAGAACCTTATAACTCCAAGCAGAAAGTGAGTTCTTAGGATTAGAAGGTTCTATCTGCATTGACCTGTTCTAAAAAACTAATTTGTTGTCATTGCATGAAAGAAACATGTTCCACATACCAGTTTTACTACTTGTAATGCGAAATCTTTGAACCTCAGTATCTCAAAACTCCTTAGAACGCAAATAGAACCTTATAATTCCAAGGGGACAAAAAAGTTAATTATGAAATATATGTCTGTAATAAAGAAGAGAAAAAAGACCAAAAATAAAACAAAAAATATATATATTACATATATTACATATACAATGGTGGGTAAAAGAAAAGGTTGTTTGATGGTCACTCACTGTTCCGGTTTGTGACACTCGTACACATATCTGGCCGCAGTGGACGCTGATGGACCGTCTCCTAATATAATCGCTAATTTATTATCATCTCACTCTTCTGCTTATCATTATTATCAAAAGTACAGCCTGAATGTGTAAAAATATTCATAAAACCGAGACAGAACTGGGTGAAGTGATGAATAATTGAATGGAGGAGTGTGATCCTGTGGGCCTCGTTCGTTCTGTAATTGAAATATCAGTATGGATCTGGGCTACGTGACAAAAGCATGTTGCAATATTATATGAATTATTTCTGACTCAGTGTTTAAACTGGAGCCCCAACATTTCCGTGATCATCTCACTACCCGGCTCTGTTCTGTAGTGGACTCTCATGCTCTTACGTTGGGCCTTGAGAGCCCAAGAGCCCAAATTCCTCATAAGAAATATATGTGTGGAAAACCTTGTGAACATTTGAAGCCCAACAGTCCACATTCCCCACAGGGGCTTTAGTCCATGGGTAAAACGTATGTCCATACATTCTGTCCACTGCCTTATCCCAGTACCCCTCCCAGTACAACCGAAACACCTTCAAGTACAACCGAAACCCCTCCCAGTAAAACCATAACCCCTCCCAGTACAACTGAAATATCTCCGAGTACAACCATAACCCCTCCCAGTTCAACCGAAACCCCTCCCAGTGCAACTTAAACCCCTCCCAGCACAAACGAAAACCCCTCCCGGTACAACCAAAGCCCCTCCCAGTACAACCGAAACGCCTCTCAGTACAACCAGAACTCCTTCCAATACAAACGAAACCCTTCCTACTACAACAGAAGCTCCTCCAACAGAAGCTCCTCCCAGTACAGCAGAAGCTCCTCCCAGTACAGCCAAAACCCCTCCCAGTAAAACACTCTGCAGACGAAGGGGCTAAACAGATAAACAGTTGGTAATTGGTTGCCGCTAACGAGCATATTTGCATAATCCCTCCTATTCCTGCTCCTCTCGATGCATGTAAACTAAACAAAATATGATTCTGCACTTTCAGTCCGTCCCACATGTGTGTCTGTTAGATGAAGAGGAGATATTAAATCCAGAAAGACGCGAGTTCTACCCAGAATTCTCAGCGTGATTTTTTCGTCACAGCAGTGCACAGAAGATCTTATCAGAGTTTATCTTTATTTTGGGAACTCTGTCCTATTTCAGACACTCACCTGCTGAAAGGACTGGATTTACCGTCAGCCGCATCCTCAGAGTGACTGAACCGAGAGAGAGAGAGAGGGAGAGAGAGAGAGAGAGAGAGAGAGAGAGGGGGAGGGGGAGAGAGAGGGAGAGAGAGAGAGTGTGAGAGAGGGAGAGAGAGAGGGAGGGAGAGAGAGCGTGTGTGTGAGAGAGAGAGAGAGAGAGAGAGAGAGAGAGAGAGAGAGACAGTGAGAGAGGGGAGAGAGAGTGAGACATCTACTGGCTCAACAGAGAATTGCACCTGCAATTCATACTCTCTCTATCTCTCTCTCTCTATCACTCTATCTCTGTTCTGTATCTCTCTCTCTCTCTCTCTCTCTTTCCTTCCCATTCTCTCTCTCTCTCTCTTTTTTTATCTGTCTTCCTCCTTCTCTCTTCCTCCCTCTATCTCTCTATTGTTTATTTCTCCTTCCTTCTCTCTATCCTTGCTTCTCTTTCTTTCTCTCACTCTTTCCTCTCTTTCTATCTATATTGTCTATTTCTCCTTCCCTCTCTCTGTTTCCTCTCTCTCTCTCTCTCTCCCTCTCTCTTTCCTTCCCCTCTCTCTCTCCTTCTCTCTCTCTCTCTCTCTCTCTCTATCACTCTGTCTCTGTTCTGTATCTCTCTCCCTCTCTCTTTTCTTCCCATTCTCCCTCTCTCTCCCTCTCTCCCTCTCTCTCCCTCTCTCTCCCTCTCTCTCTCTCTCTCTCTCTCTCTCTCTCTCTCTCTCTCTCTCTCTCTGTGGCTCTGTTGTGTTCAGTGATCTTTATTAGGATGAACAAATGTAGTTACAGTAATGTACTGTGTTCCTTATAAAACACCTGTATGTGGTTTTATTCTCTTCTTCTTATGTTCTTTATTATTTGCAAACTAAATCTTTGTAATTGAGATTCAGACATCTTACATTTCTCTATCCACAAACTCCGCCCGTTCTCTCGTTCTTCCTCTTTCACTGTTTCTCCAGATTACCCCCTCACCGTGCTCACACGAACTTTGTTGTGTCTGTTTTAATCCTTTATATTATGAACTTTCCTTCCCTGTGTTTCCTCCTGACTGCTGATCCAGGTTTTTGCACTAAAGCCCCAATCTGATACATAATGTCTAATACCTGTTAGCTACATCAGCCTCGTAGCACCAGCACTAAAACTAAAGAAGCACACGTGCATGATTGGCTAATCGTCTAACCGGTGTCTGAGTGGAAAGTGTGTGTTTACATTTTTCACTAAATGATTTAACTAACTGTTTAACCCACTCTTTCCCTTTTCTGGCTGTATTTTCTCTCCTTTGCCTGCACTTAAAGGGGAAGTCCACCAAATTAGCTGGTTAAGCTGTAAACAAAGAGGTTCAGAGTGGTTTGGTGTGAAACGCTTCGTTCTAGAGAAACTTACAGAGTGAGAATTGTTCACAGTGGTGGTGATAGGAACCAGACGTCCACCTCTAAAAGCTCCCTCACAGAAATTTACTACATGAAACGGTTATGAATTATGGAGTTAATGTTTTGCCTAAAATTTCAAATAAAATAAAAGATTATAACTCATTTTCACTCATTCTGATATAAATCTATTTGCTTTCATTATTTTCTTTTTGCTGATACTTATTTTGTTTCTTTCTTTTGTTGGGTCTTAGCTTCACCTGCGCTCTCTATTGGTCAACTATGTTCAGAGGAATGGCACTCCAAGTTGACCAATCAAGGGTGCAGGTGAAGCTAAGACTTGTGAAAATGTACAAAAAGTCAGAATCAAAATTAAAATTTCAGAGGCAAGAAATGTATCAGCCAAATCAGCAAAAGAAAAAAAATGAGAGATAAGACTGACAAAATGAGGAATACATTTATATTAGAGTGTAATTGTCTTTTGGGTAAATTAAATTTGGTTTAACTCTCATTACCATACTTTGATATTTAACATTTTACTTGGTTTATGTGAAACTTTGGGAATACGATGCCTGATTACTGCTACATTGTTTTATGATAGCTTTGACAAGATTTTGGCCTAATAATATATATATATATATATATATATATATATATATATATATATATATATATATATATATATGAACCCATCCATGGTGGAGGGACACATAATATGCAGGGCGCTGTGAGGCAAAATAGTCCCCAAAGAAAACTTATTATTTCAGATTTTCCACTATTTTCCATCATCAACATTCCATATAAACTCAGAAGACTCGTGTAGGTTCACTGGTGGTTCTGGATAGTAAATAAAATGTCTATATTTGTGTTGTAGTCATGGCGACCCCTGGTTCTTATCACCACCACTGTAAAGACATCTAAACCATTTCACACCAAACCACTCTGAATCTCTCTGTTTACATCTCACACACTGAATTATGGAGGAATTTGTAAAAGTTTGAGTTCCCCTTTAATTCTTCCTCCTGCTCTTCCGGCTGTTCTGTCCACTCCCTCTGTCCGGTGTGGTTGATATCTGACCCTGCTCTTCCCTCTGTTCAGTTATCCTCCCTCCTCTGCTGTTTTTTTTTCAGCCGGTGTTGCTGTCGGCTGGCCACACCCCTCTGTACACCTCTGCTGTCTCCACACTG